GCCCTCAGCACTGCCCGACCGCCGAGACCCCCTGACCGCGCCGCCCAACGCCTGCAGCTGTCTGATGAGTCTTGTTTTCGCTGCTCGGTCTCCGAGTCTTGGGTCGTGATCATGGCTTGTTCCCGTTTCTTGTTTTCTTCCATCGTTGGAGGATGAACGGAGGAGTTTGTGTTGGGGAGCTCAAGAGGAATGAGAGAGAGAGAGAGAGGTAATGGAGTTTTTTTTTTGTTTCTTGCGATTCTTGATTGTGATGAGTTTCTGCGCGTCAGAAGATCACCTACAGAAATGGATGAAGTCTTGGGTTTATTGGGTTCTTGCTGTTGTGAAACTTTCGGGGTTTGAATTCTTTGTTGGAGGGACGAGCTACGGACGGATTATGGCTTTAGTTCCGCGGGGGTGACCTCGGCTGAGGGCGACGGAGGCCGGAGCGGTGGTCGAGGGGAGGAGCGGCGGTGGACGTGGGTTCGGGAAGGAGAAAAAGAGAGAGAGAGGCGGGGGGATGATGAACAGTAGAGGGTTAATTCCATGCCACGTCAGAAAACAGAGCCACATCAGCATCTTAAACACAGATTAGGCCCCCACGTGCAACGCACGTGATGAGTTCTCGCCGGAAAAGTGGCCGCCGACGAGAAAAAGGACCTAAATGGTAATTTTATTCAATTAAAATGTCTTATCGCCGAATTTCCTAATTAAAATACCTTGTTGGTAAATGGGGTTGAATTAAAATACCAATATGGGTATTTAGCCGCCTTTGGTTGGTCAGCTCTGGTTTGTTTATTAGTATCATTTGTTTATTAAGTAAATGATTAGAGTCATTTATTTTCTTAGTATTAGAGAAAATAATTTTCAATTGTAGGTCGGCTCTAATAAATAATTTTTATTTGTTATCGAGTATTGGATATTTAATAATATTTCATCAAAGTATGCATTACTTTCTGACATTTTTTCCATTTTATATTTAGTTGACTTAGTGCCTTTTTGGATCAATTGTTAAAAAAAATATAATCTGATGGAACTTTAATTTTTTTACTCCAAATTAAATGATGAGTTCTCTTTCACTTTTAATTTATTAGTTAAACTCTCTCTCATTTTTATTTAAACTTTGATGGGTTTAGAAAATGTTAGAGGAAATATATTGAAGACTTAATTAATATTAGCTACTTATTTTTGTTGGAACTGCTGAAAATGACCATCTTTCTAGATATGATATGACACAAAGCATTAATTATATCACTCCTATATCATTCATAGATCCAACAATCTATTTATATATTTATGTATCTTTA